ATTACGTCATTGCGAATAATCCTACGCTGTAATAAATGTATTCATACATACATACATACATATATATATATATATATATTTAATTAAAGCAAAAAAAAGAAAACAAGCAAAAAATCGTTATATTTATTGATATCATGAAAATAATTTTTTAAGCTATTTACTTATCTCGTTGATTGAAATAAATCTTCGAATTTGTACACAATGTTGCCCCGGTACATTTCATAGCTTCACCTTCTTCATTACATCGTGAGTCAAAAGAAAATATAATTTATTAAAACAATTGACGAAAATTTTCATTTAATTTATATCCATTTTATACGCGTCGTACGAGTATTTGTTTCTTTCTTTTTTTCTTTTCATATAGAAAATTTGTTTACAATTTTTATACAAACATATGAAGGTATTGAAATATTAATGAGTAAAATATATAAAGGAATTGTTTCGACTTGCAAGTTACTGAAAGTGGTTGGCAATACTTTTTCAAAGGAAAAGATGAAAAATTTGAAACAATTTGAAATATGAAAAGAAATAAAGGAAAAATAGGATCTATATATATATGTATACATAAATCCTATTCGAATATATACATTCAACAATACAATTATAATATATACATACATATATTCGAATATCGATCGACCTATAATAAATTAATTTTTTAATTGTCATCGAATTAATTTCTTAAAAAAATTAGTTACATACTATCTGTCCTAAATACTATAGACCATAACGTACGATATAAACCTTGCTCTTAGTAATATTTGAACTTTACAGTACGTCGATCTAAATACATTTATGGTGATGAGTGTAAGGGAAATTAGATTTGAAAAATTGTGACGCTTACGCGAATAGAATTATTTCATATTTTATACATTCTTATTATTGAGTAATACATTCTTTGCATTTTTTTTTCTATGATTCAATAATACTCAATTTCGTTTTAACTTTGTATCTAAAGTTGAGTTATAAATTATTATTCATTTTTTCTTTTCTAAAGTTCAATCGAATTAATAACAATATTCTTATGAAATTAAGATCAATATTATAACGTCATAGTTAGAAAACGTAAAAGATGTGGCAATTGTGTAAGGTTCCCTGAAAGTGTATTGAATTAAAGTAAAAAAATGAAACGAGAATACAAGGAAGTCTACCAAGGTAATCACATAGTATCACGTACGCCAGTTAGTTAATTTGTTATTTTACAATTTTATTTAATAAATTCGAATCGTATATTTTTCACTTTTTTTATTTTCTTTAAAGTTAAATCAAATATAATCTATAACTCTATCATTTTATAAGTAATACATTTCTTATTTCTATAAAATTAAGGCAATAATTGTTAAATAAGATTATTATACTGCCATTAAAACAATGTACGAATAATATGAATTAATAATTAACTAATATTTAAACAATGGCATATTCTTAGCAACATTATAAAGATCATAAAATAATTAATATATAATATATATATATATATTTGTATATATATTATATATATATGTATATATATTGTATATATATATATATATGTATACATATTGTATATATATATGCATATATATTGTATATATATATGTATATATATTGTATATATATACAATATATATTATTTTAACACATATTGTATATATTTAACACATATTGTATTATATATGTATATATATTGTATATATATTGTATATATTTAACACATATTGTATTATATATGTATATATATTGTATATATATTGTATATATTTAACACATATTGTAATATATATGTATATATATTGTATATATATTGTATATATATATATATAGTGTATATATATTATATATATATGTATAAAGTGTATATATATTGTATATATATATATATATAGTGTATATATATTATATATATATATATATAGTGTATATATATTGTATATATATATATACAAACAAAATCCGCAATCACTTAGTTGCCAACGCCATAATGTTTTGGCAACTAAGTCATTGCGGAAACAGGATCCGCAATCACTTAGTTGCCAACCCCGCAATCACTTAGTTGCCCGTTGGCAACTAAGTCATTGCGGAAACAGGATCCGCAATCACTTAGTTGCCAACACAATATATTAGGGGGACCGGAAAGTAATGTCGTTCTTAAGAAACGACACTACTTTCCGGTTCCCCTCATCATGGACCGGAAAGTAATGTCGTTTTTAAGAAACGACACTACTTTCCGGTCCCCCTCATCATGGACCGGAAAGTAATGTCGTTTTTAAGAAACGACACTACTTTCCGGTCCCCCTCATCATGGACCGGAAAGTAATGTCGTTTTTAAGAAACGACACTACTTTCCGGTCCCCCTGATCATGGACCGGAAAGTAATGTCGTTCTTAAGAAACGACACTACTTTCCGGTCCCCCTGATCATAGACCGGAAAGTAATGTCGTTTTTAAGAAACGACACTACTTTCCGGTCCCCCTGATCATGGACCGGAAAGTAATGTCGTTTTTAAGAAACGACACTACTTTCCGGTCCCCCTCATCATGGACCGGAAAGTAATGTCGTTTTTAAGAAACGACATTACTTTCCGGTCCATCTAATATATATATATATGAACGTATATAATATTATAATAATCTTACAATATATTAATCTAATATATAATCTTTCTTATAATATATTAATCTAATATATATATATATATATATATATATATATATATATATATATATATATATATATAGATAACGATAATCAACTCAACAACATATATATATATATATATATATATATATATATATATACATGTTTTATACAATATAAAATAGGATTAATAAACCATAAATAATTAAATCAAGCTTATAAATATGTAATGCATTGGGTCAAGGTTGAATAATTCTATCAGTTTTCTTTTTATCGTGATAAACAAATACTTGTGACCAACTAATTTAATTCTTTTTACAATGACAATTAAAATTCAAGTTGAAAAAACTAATTGCCTTTTAGCCAGTAATATATATTATCATTTTAATACTTACTTTTATATATTGTGGTTTTGTTCATATAGGTATTCATGTCTACGCTTAGGTAATAAAGATTTTAATGACATTAAGTCAAAGGATGAAATTAAAGATTGTTTTTTCTTTTTAAATTTATTAATGGGTGCTTAGATATACAATAATAGGAACAATATCTAAAACCAAAAGAAAGTAAATTTTATATATCTATGATGGAGAATTTATTGTACATAAATTCATTATACAAAAAATTGGAGAAAAAATCTTTTTTAACTTTTTTTCGAAATTGTATATTTCACATTGATAAGCAACTACAAATACATAATGTTTTTATATATTTCTTATATATTGTACAAGTTTATATACTTCTATATAAATACTAATTTTGATTTAGCATAGATCACTGTAAGGGAACACAACAAATAATATCAAAAAAAAGATATAAATATATAAGAGAGTGAAAAATCTCTATATATTTCACGTTACTAATCTACCTACCTAATCTAATCCATACTAATTCGATTATTTATTATTATACACTGATACGATAAACACATGATGAATAAATAGTGTTCCATGTTTTTACACTTTTAATTCATATTTTGTTCATATTGTGTCAATGAAATTGATTGACAGTAATTAATAAATTGATGAACAGCCTTAATAACATTTATATATATATATATATATATATATATATATGAGATAATTTTAACTATATATTATCAAAATTTGTTAACTCTAAATTATTAACCTAAAAAGAGACATGATGAGCCATCTTGAATGCAGCTAATCTTATCTTACGAAATTGCTGTTCAATCGGTAATATAGATTCCTTTCAACAAAGAAAACATTTTCATATTTGTGCGAACCGCGATTGTTTCTCAGAAATGATAATTGTTTATTATTTCATTTATTTGTATTTAAAATGAGTGCAGAAGATTATGAATTTTTGGACAAAGATAAGGATCAAGTAAGATGCCTTTTTAAACGTATTCAAATTGTTCCGATATCTTTTTTCATCGTAGAAAATTGAAATGTATTATTTGAGGTTATGTTTCTTATAATGTATACCAATTTCTTTTTTTTTTCATTTTTATTATTAATTTTTTTTTTTTTCCTTATATTCAACGAATCGTAGGATGAAATTCGTGAGGAATTGTCACATATGAGTTTCGAGGATTTACAAAAATTAAAAGAGAAACTTGGTACAAAGGTATACAATGAAACCGTATTTGGTAGTCGTAAAAAAAAGGAAGTTATTTTCAAACGAGAAAACAAAAATAGACCAAGAGAAATGACAACGAAAAGGCAAGTGCCAAGATTTAAGGAAATAATTCAAGTTAAAAAGCGTATACCTAGAGATCCACGTTTTGATAATCTATGCGGTGACTTTAATGAAAAAGCATTTAAAAACGCATACAGTTTTATTAACGATATAAAGGAGAACAATTTAATTACTTTAAAAAGTGAGCTACAAAAGACAAATGATCCGAAAGAGATAAAAAAGATCAAATATCTTATTCAACGATTGGAAAATCAATTGAGAGAGCAAAAGAGAAAGAACATGAAAGAAAAGAAAAGGATTGAAGAGAAGAAGTCAATAATAAATGCTCTCAAATCTGGACAAAAACATTCTTTCAAAAAGAAATGTAAGTATCTTTTTCTTTTATTCCAACATCTTAATTTATAGTTATCTCACGCTTATATATCCTATATCTTAATTATAGCGGAGAAGAAAGTTCTTGATCTAATAACTCAGTATGAAGAATTAAAAGATTCAGGAAAATTGAAGAAACACATCACAAGGTTGCGCAAAAAAGCTTTACACAAATCCAGACGGCAAATTGAACAAATGAACTGGACAGTTACTAATGTAGAATAATAAATTAATAGGTATTCATAAACCTTAGGTAAGAATAAATAAACACAATTAATCTTAAAGAAATTATAACTCATTTCTAATTTATTTTCAACATCCTCATAATTCTCAATATCCGAATGACATTC